AACGGTTCCTAAAAGAGGGTTGAGAGACCTGGTGGGCACAACGCGCTTCCGAGATGGAACTAGCCTCTGATTCCGGTAATGCGCACGAAGTTTTTCGACTAATCCAAGCCACCGGTAACAAAAAGCAATGCGTCAATGAAACCATATGCGAAATTAATGGCGAATGTATCCACAATCTACAACGTCGGCTTGGGCGCTGAGCGGAGCACTTCCATCAACAATTCAGTTGGCCATCGACATCATCACCTTCATCTCCCGATGTCTGTAGTGCTCCGTGGTCTGTGGACATTTCATCGCCTACGGATTAAAGTCTTCCGAGAACTCAGGCTCCTGAAACACCACAAATCGTCCGACCCTAATTAAAGACAGTGATGCAAGCTTTGTTCGCGAACTAACTTCCTTATTCCAAACCATCTGGAATACTGAATCCATTCCATCCGAATGGAGTTTGACGAACGTCGTATCTGTTTTCAAGAAGGATCCCCGCCACGATTGCTCCACTCATCGAGGGATCAGTCTCATCTCTGTTGCATCCAAGCTGGTAACATCGCTGATCCTTCGCAGGCTCAATTAGACAAGAGAGCATCATATTCGCGAAGAACAAGCTGGATTCCACCCTGGTCGGAGCTGCGTTGACCACATATTTACGCGACGCTAGATCCTCGAGCAACGTCAAACGTTCAGTAGACAGACCATCATTGTGTTTTGCACATACGTGCTGCGTCCGACTCAGTTGACAGTTGGACTTGTCTGTTAGGATGCGGTTCCTGAGAAGTATGTAAACCTTCTAAAAGCCGTCTACTCAAGGTCTATGGTCGCATCTCCCTTTCATTTACCATCACAAGCGGAGTTCGACAAGTGTCCAGCTTCGCCCTTCCTCTTTAATTTCGCAATAGACAAAATCCTAATCAGCGCTCTAGTGTGGAGCTTCTCCAAGGTAATGGACTCCGTGACTTGGAATATGCTGATGACGTCGTTTTACTCTGTGACTCCTCCCAGGACGCTCAAAACGTCCTGTGTAAGTTATCATTGTCCGTCACACAGTTCGGTCTGACATTTTCTCCATCGAAATGCCAGGTGTTACTACAAGACTGGCAAGAGGCTACACTTGTCCTCACGCTTATGAACGACCAGTTGGAAATCGTCGATCACTTTACTTATCTCGGGAGTTGCTTCAGCTCAAGAGGACCAATAGAAGAAATATCAGCGCGTATCCGCAGGGCTCGAGTGACCTTCGCTAACCTATGTCACTTGTGGCGCTGACGCGATCTCAGTCTCTCTTTGAAAGACCGCGTTTACAACGCCACAGTACGCTCTGTTTCGTCTACGGCTGTGAGAGTTGGTCCCTCCGTGCAGAAGACGTAC